TATATGTTCTCTGTCAGGATGTGTAAAATGTTGTTTTGTCCTGAATAAAGTGGGGCTGAAGCTATAATTTTTATCCGCTCTAATTTTTTTTTTAACCCAAACCTGGCACAATATTCACTATTAATATTCAATAAAAATACACAAAAATTTGGTTTCCCCTTTTATGAGTTGGGGGTGTGAATGATTTTTTTTAAATTACCAAACCAGGGGCCAATGTGTAAAATATATAAAGTCTCAGAATGAAAAGGCTTTAAACCAGTCCCAAAACCTAGGAATCCCTTAACAAATAAATCGTTTATTGAACATTTTTATTCCTTGGGGTAATTGCCTATAAAGATAATAATATATCATATGCTCAAAACATGAATTATATACATTTTTTATTAACACGATGTATATTTACGCCTTTATATTTTTCATCTCTTTTAGGAATGTATTTATTTATTTATTTTGCAGTTCATTTTAATTCCTTCTGGAATCCGCAGTCACAAAAAATTATTTTATTCATTTAAAAAAAAATGTCTAAACCTGATTGTGACTTGAGCGCTGTTTTGCGTTGTGTCTATTTGTTAATGGACCCTTTGTGTTTTGGGACAAGCGTGAAAGGCTTAAAATGTTCACGGGATTTTTTTTCTCCTTTTTTATAAAAATAGATATTTTTTTTCTCTCTCTCTCTCTTGTTTCTGCGCCCGTCTCATTTCTTCGTTTATTACTCTTTAGAAGGAAGGATGTTGAGTGGCAAAGACATGGAGTAGAGATAGAGGCGGTGAAACGGTGCCAAGCCTTGTGGCAGAGGGAAACCAAACCGGTTCATGGCCAGAGTGAGAGAGGCGCTCTTAACCATAGAGTTTCCAGGCTCCAGACCTCCCATACCAGCCGCAGACCTCCTAAGAAGTGCTCCGTTTACACATCTCAGTACCTTATAAGTAGGCCTAAGAGTCTCAGTGCTCCCCAGCCATTTATTTCTATTTCCTTTTTTGGTTCTGAACCCCCTAATAATGTCTTGTGGTCCATATTAGACAGACAATATCTACTCAGACTTCCACATACTTACTGATTCCAAACCCAATGGCATCAGACTCCCAACAAGGGCGGCAGAAGTGCCATTTTAGCTCTAGCATCGCCCTACCACAATCAGTAGCACCAGAACAGTAGATGCTTTGGGTTTACATTTTGAACCGGCTCTATTAAGTAGCCCTTCCTTTATTATAAAGCCCTTCAGATATTGGGCTTGTCTTCCATGTGTCCAACCTTAATGGTGGTAAAAAGTTTAAAGTTCCTCTGATTTTGCCTCCTCTCTCCCTCTTTCATGCCCCCCCCCCCCTCTCCCCCTCTCATGCACCTCTTCCTCCATTTCTATCTCTCGCTCCCTCCACTCAATGTGCTTCCTTTCATGCTTTGTGCTGTTTACTGGTCTTGAATGACACTTGCAAGACCCTATCTCCAAGCCGGTATCCGTTCAGGCTGGCAATGGCCATGGCTGCTTCGTCGTAGTTTGTCATGGTGACAAATCCAAAGCCTTTGCACTTGTTGGTGGTAAAGTCCCGAATTACTTTGACGTTTGTCACTGCTCCGAAGGGCCCGAACAGCTGCCACAGGACGCTCTCATCGGCCTCTGGCGAGAGGTTGTAGACGAAGATGCACCAGCCCGCGGAGGTGGGACCAGTCAAGCTGACTCCGGCAAGGTTGGTAACACTGTCGATGGTGATAGGAGAGAACCTGGGAAGGAAAGAGAGCGGACTACATTGGGTGTAAGGAATAGGTCTATGACAGACAGAAGGAGGAGTGAAGCATTGGGCAGGAAGACAGAGAAGATGTAGAAAAGCTCCAGATGAATGAGGTACACATACAATGCAGAAGGTGATCAGAAGTGCACTATAACTAACAGGGTTATTCACAAAAGGGTGAAGAGTTTGGAGAAGGCCGGAGAAGTGAACAATCTAGGACAACATAGCTGAACTGGAAACATTTTCCAATTCAGCTCACTTTCCAGTCCAGCGATGTTGTCCTAGATTGTTCCCTTCTCCTGCCTCCTCCAAACTCTTCACCCTTTTGTGAATAACCCAGTTAGTGAAATCACTTTACCAAATAGGAAAGCAGATTGATGGGAGAAGGTTAGAGAAATAGATGTTGGCAGATGTTCTCAGGACCAAACTCATACTGGGAAGAGCAGCAAGATGATGACTGGTGTACAGAAACATTCATACAAATGGTAGATCACAGAGAAATAATATGAATAGAGACATGAAGACATGAAATAAAATGAACAGGTTATGAGGAGAAATAAAATGACCTTCTAGTCTAGAACATTGGCCTACCAAGTGGAAGACGAGACATCAATGGGTTAATGGCAACCAAAGGAACAGAAGAAACCCAAAGCTACAACTATGAAAATAATGGCGAGGATGAACCCCGAGAGTCAGGTAACCGATACACCAATCCTAAGATTCTACAGCTTCTCCAACCCGTCAAAAAATTGCTGATGGTGTCTAGATTCTCCTGAACGTTACAATAATTTGACATCTTGACAGCACAAGAGAAAACTGGAGCAAGTCTGATGGAATGACATGATATGGAAAAAAAACTAAAACGTGAAGTTGAAAGCAGAAGAAGAAGAGATGGCAACCATCGAAACAATCGCAAGGCAAAGAATTGCAGGAGGCGCACAAAGGGTCTACAGCTACCGGAAGGAAAACGAAATACCGCACACAGAGCAATAGGCAAAATGAACCAAAATATAAATGAATAAAAAAAGGAGCTGAACAGATAAGTATTTGTGACACCGATATTAGGACCTACGCTAGAGACAATCTCAATACAAACTGGTAAACTAAACATGAGATTGTAGTCCATCCCGGGAGTGAGCTCGGATCGGTGACTATTTTATAACACACACAGGGACCATGGGGAACAAAAGAAGCCACCCTCCAGAAGGAAGGACAGTGTCAGCACCAATTCAGAGATGTTTATGTGCAATATCATGGGCGCTGTATCTTGATATATAATCTTGATTTAAAGTGATATGCAGTGGAGTATAACTCTGCTTTGATCAAACATACTTTTGTACTTGTCACCACAGACTATGAAAAATGCCAATATGTCACGCTTCCTGAAAAAGCAAAACCCCATCTCCAGCAGCATATCCTGGCTGAGTGTTGGCATCCATCTTTGCTGTAAAGCATTTGTTCCTGGCCACCACCAGGGGGAGCTGCTGAGACAGGAGACCTGCTCTCCATTGAGCTGAATTAGGAATCCATCTCCTATGAGCAGATTTTTGCAGAGCAAAGCAAGATCTATTCAGAGCAAAGAGATTGCAGGCTACGTTGCTGGAAACATGATTACTGTTCAGCTAACACCTCATAATGATGTTTGTTAGAGGCTGCTGGGGCAAGTATAAATGTAAATCTTCAAGTGTTAGTAGAGATACACTTTAAAGTGACACTATACTCAGGAGTAACATCTTAAAATTGCATTCAAATACCTTAACTAGTAACAAGAATGTATGTTATTTGTGTATCACTCGGCTGTAGATCCTTCAATCATCTCTGAATTGGTGCTGACACTGTCCTTCCTTCTGGAGGGTGGCTACTTTTGTTCCTCATGGTGCCTGTGTGTGTTGTAAAGTAGTCACCGCTCCAAGCTCACTGCTGTGATGGACTACAATCTCATGTTTAGATTTGTATTGGAATTGTAGTCCATCACAGGAGCGAGCTTGGAGCGGTGACTACTTTACAACATGCGACCATCTAATTGACGGCTGCACATCACCATCTTGGTGATGGATGCCCAGTTGTGCATTAGTCTTAATACTCATGGGCAAATGTATCTCCTCACACCATTCTTGGCTAGAGATATGCTTTAATCCCAACTGTACATAGGTTAAACTCACCAAGAAGAGTGGAGATAGATCTACCCATTCAAATTGAGACTGTGGCATTGCTGGGCTTTACAAAGATGGCTCTCCCCCATTTTGGCCAAAATTACAAGCAGTGCACGTGTAATAGGTTCTGTGGAGCAAGAGGAAGATCAGAGGAATTCTGCAACATGATGGGAAATCTCTGTGTGCAGAACAGATGGATCCCAAGACTCACAAGCGCTCAGTTAACGCACAGCTATCGTAAGGGTAAAGTTGATAGTAAGATAATGTAGTCTGAGAGGGGAAGTCCCCTTGTAACCCCCCATAAAAGGACACAGAGGTAACACAGAACATAAAAAAAACTTAGAAAGTATCTCAGAGCAGCAAAAAAGGATAGCAAGTAACTACAGCCATGAGTCTACGGAGAAGAACTGAAGATTAACATGTGGAGTCAGAGATACCGAAGCTCGCTAATCTAATTATACATAAGTGCCACGGAGTCAACAAATTGGATCGCTGTCTCCATCCATTGGATACAAAAGCAAAATGTCACCGCCCCATTAGATGCCAATGAACCTAGCAGTATATTTTACAGGAAATCTGTGCAAACCCTACATACTGCAAGGTACCAGTCAAACCCAGGGCCTGAGTGCTGCCAAGCTAGAGGGCTAACCACTTAACCACCAAGCCACCTAGCCTACTATGTACTTATAATTAATAGCAAAAGATAATATCATTGTACTGTGCTATGTATACAATATTTTTTGACCCTTGCTAATCACACTACAGAAAAATACCAGCATATTGTTATTGGTCCCAACACCTCTCCACCAACTCCTCACTAGAATCTTATGCATAGTACAAGTCTGAGCAATTTTGAGGGTAAGATACATTTCTTAGATTGAATGTATGCATTCATAGGTACAAAAAACTTGACAGAACCCTTAAAATACAGATGCAATATAATGCATACTGGAGCAAGGTATCTCTGTCCATGTGTTAAGCCTCAGCAGATAAAAACTAAGAATGGAGCGCAGAGTGGGCATGGGGTTTTTACCTCTTGACTCCATACGCCATGTTTATTAAAGAGTCCAGCCTGCGAAAGAAGGGACAGGAGAGGGAGTGCAGTGTTAGTCATTGGGCGGGATTACAGGGGTGGGAAGGGCCACAAAGCTGCTCCGGGTAGTCATGAAGGGACAAAAAAATTCCCAGCTAAGGCAGACTCTATATTACAAATCTATACATTCACACACGTGCTAACTGATACACAAGTGCCTTGAGTTAGCATAGCACATTGAGTGTTTGTCTAGCAGGCTAAGATCACTACATTCGAGGCTAAAACCACAACCAAAGAAAATAAATACAAAACTACTATACAAAACTCACAATTCACTACACAAAAATGAAAAAAATGCTAAACAAAGAAAGCTCCGCCATACAAAAACAGAGAAAAGATGAGTATTGTCCACATCAACAGCGTGTGTTCCAGCAGTTGATTATCTGAGCACAAGAAGAAGACAGCCAACATGTTGACTGTTGATGTATCAAGTGTTCGGTCAATGCACCCAAGTTAATGTTCATGAAACTATTACACTATTCTTTAACTGTTCAGTTGATTGTTAATAAGTTGATGTTTCTACACTGCCAAATATATTGGAGATTATCAAAGAAACCTGCAAGACATTCTGAAGAAACAAACCACAAAAGCTGTCTGCTGCCAATTTAAGGGTCAATGGTAAAGGTGCCACAGCACCATGGTTTGGACATGAAGATGAACCCTGACAACAAGCTGACCATTCGTGAGTTTGGTGGCTAAAATCCTGCCTATTGCTTGGTTAGGTATAATAACTAGATGAAGGTTAACACAAGAGTGAGTGAGATCCTTGGCTCGAGAAGACCAAGCAGAAGGACAAGTCAAGAAAGTCACAAATGATAGAACCTGACCCCTGACCCGGGTTCGGTGCTTGCATGAAATGGGCCATTGACGTGAAGACATGGAAGTGTTACGCAAGCTTCACTACGTCTTTAAAAACGGTTACCAGTCACAAAAACACTGGTGGTAAGTTGGACAAAAGACTGTGGCTCAGAGTGTACAGTGGATAGTGAAGACCTCCTAAGCTTGGTAAGAAAATATTTTGTAAGTAGGGTGAAACAGGATGAACAGTAGCCTAGGATGCTTAGTGCATGTTGTGGCATCCATAACAATGTAAGATGGACGTCTAAGAAGACATTAGAAAGGAAAGGTAACACAGCAGGTGGACAATGATACAGAAAGTATAATGGAGTGGCAAAGGCATTTGTTCTTTGATGGATGGTAGAGAGAATGGTTATGTTAAGTTGGTATCATGGTATCCCATGAAAATCCACATAGATTGGGTGGTGGACAGTGTAGAAAAAGGTGATAAATGAATTGAAGAGAACCTGTTTGATAATGGTAAATGAGATTAGGATGTTGGACATCGGAAGGCTAGTGTGTTTGGGGTGTCAGCAAAGTTATTGGATGGCTGTTACAGTCAACTAAGAGGTGTAGTAGGAAAAGGCACAGGATGACTAGTAGTTGGGAAACAAGTTGGAACTGTGATCTGTGGACTTTCTTCATAAAGGATAAGCAGTAACATAGGAGAAGAGTCTAATAATGAAGAAGGTAGTATAGACTTGGTCAGGTATGTGTTTGTTCTATAGTAAGGGGGCATGGAGTGGGCAGGGTTTAGTAAGGAGCAAGGAGTAAGGAGAGACTACGTCAGGGTTGAGAAAGCGGTTTAAGGTTTCTTGCAGGGGTGGCTTACCTGAATCTCTGTGTCTGGTGGTGAAGGGGTCCGGTGTACCTCCGGGCTGTGGTCTGGTAAAGGTGGGTAAGCAGGGCCTGACCTGTTTTCTGGCTGGGATTGTTGGCAAATTTCACTGTGATTGGTTCACTAGCTCCCAGTGGCTTTTGACCATTCAACCCCTTGATTGCTTCCTCTGCCTCTATCCTCTTGTCAAACCGGATGAAGCCCACTCCTCGCGAGACTCCTGTACGTGACATAACTAACAATGGTACAGGTATACCTCTGAAGATCCGCAGCAAAAAAGAAAATGCATACAACCATTCATTCTAAAACAATAAGTAACAGCGCCACAAGTTTTAACCTTCCCTTACCTTGTTCAACACTAAAGGAACAAGCTGTGGCTAGAATTCCACTTTATAAAAGGTAAATCATTTTTTTCAAGACGCAACTTAGCTCTAAGTAAAAGTAATTTGTAACTAGATAGAGAAAGCCTTTTGACTGTAAAATGTCTGTCATACCTGTGACTTGGTCAACCAGGATACGTGAGGTGATGATCCTGCCGTACTGGGAGAAAAGCTGCTCCATCTCCTTCTGATTCATAGTTTTTGGAAGGCTGCTCACATAGAGATTGGCATCGCGTATGGAGGCGGAGCTTGGCCGGGCATAGGATACCTGTGTCAAACAAACAAAACACAATGGAGTCAGCCTTTCCTTTACAGAGTATCTAAAACCAAACAGTTTTTATTCAGGTTTGGATCAGGTGGGAAAGTTTAGGACCCCTGTTAGGTTTTTGATGTTGCCTTTGGCCCCACTGGGGAGATTCACCCTCTCAGTTGTCCTAATGACCATTGTCACCAAGACTGAATGTGAGGGAAAGTCCAAGAATAGGAGAAGAGGGGAAGTCTTTAATTTGTTTGGTGACAACTGGAGGCCTTACTTCATTTTGGAGGAAATGTCCTCTTCATGTTCATGTTGTTTCTATAAGACAGGAAGTGAAGGGAAATCTACCCAATGGAATACAGATAATGCCGAGCTGAGGCCTAAAATACAGGTCATTAAACCCTATTAGGAATACAAAGCTAGTGTACACAGGCATTGGTCAATGCAGTGCAGAGGACCAAGTCCTACTAGCTCTGATGCCAGTTGGTGATGTAGAAGCACCCCATGATATTCCTTTAACCTTATTTGTAGGCCCAATTCAGCTTTACTTAGAAAGCAAAGTGTCTCAGACACACTGAAATATGACTATGTACAGTTATCTTAAATCACTTATGATCTATGAGCTGTAAAGCAGAACAATGAGGTGGCCAGCAGTTGAATGGAGGGGCCCAAAAACTGGTCTTGCATGGGGGCCCCTTGGCGACTCTATTCGTCACTTGCCCCCTAACTCACTGTCCCAAAATTCCAAAAATGGGAACAAGAATGGGTAAGTGTCTCCCCGCCAGTCATTGTAAGTAAAATATTTGTCTATCTATGGTCAGGTTTAGGCTGGTCACAGGTAGGGAGACCTCAGGAAATAATGTGAGCAGATACCTGAACTTCCACAAGCAACTAACTGGAATACTGGGATTCTCTGTGTTCCTCACTCAACACAGAAGCGGTAAGTATCAGTCCTGATGGTAAAGATATTGTAAAAGATCCAAATGTAACAACAAGCTTCTCTGGGAGCCATAGGTACGAATTATTGCCCCTATGGTGATCACATGTTATTGGAAGCCATGCATGAGTATTACTGTGTTGAGTCATAAGGACACATTAAAATAACAGCAGGTCCTTTTCTTCTTTGATATCACCAGATAGGAAGTCAAACGTTTCTGGAAATATACACATCTTCTCTGATACATCTACTACAGCTTCATTCATGAACTCTATTACAGACACTTTAAAGAAATTATGTTGTTTACATTCAGCAACTCTTTTAACATCTGCTGCTCGGCTCTCTCCAATCGATGCATCAGAAACACCCCACAGACCCAGCCACACGAAGGCTTGAAGCAATGAAGAGGTTAACTGGTTGTTTTCCCCAGAGAGAAAGGATTGTTTGCTGAGCCCCTAGTCACTGTTACCACAGAAAGACTCAGTCGCTCAAGGGAGCCTCCCATGAGCCTTTGCAGCATCAACACTAGGCAGAGCAGATGGAGACAGATCTGATGCAATTGTCTCCATCAACCAAAAGTTTAGAAGAGGAAAAAACATATCTTTGTATTCAGGTTTATTTTACTGCTTTTTAAATACATGTCTTGGCACTCCTATGTGTATTCTATCCCACCAGCGCAGTGTATGTACTGTTGGCTGACCAAATTGTGATGGTTAGACGACTGGATCAGAGCACCTCCAAAAATGCAGCTCGTGTGGGATATTCCTGGTCTGAGCCCTCAGGGGAAAGTGGTCCAAGGAAGCAAAAATGGTTAACAGGTGCCAGGGTCGTGGGCAGCCAAGGGTCATTGGTGCGCGTGGGGAGCGAAGCCTGGCCCATGTAGTCCAATCCAATAGCTCATATTGCTGAAAAAGTTAATTCTGGTTCTGATAGAAAGGTGTCTGAACACACAAAGCATCGGAGGTTGTTGTGTATGGGGCTGTGTAGCCGCAGACCGGTCAGGGTGCCCATGCTGACCCTGTGTCCAACGCCAAAAGTATCTACAATGCACAGGTGAGATTTAGAACCACTGGACCACGGAGCAATGGAAGAAGGCGGCCTGGTCCGATTAATCACGTTTTCTTGTACATCATGAGGATGGCCAGGTGGCCAGATACACTATGGGGAGAAGACAAGCCGGCGGAGGCAATGTGATGCTTTGGGCAATGTTCTGCTGGGACACCTCGGGTCCTGCCATTCATGTGGATGTTACTTTAACATGTATCACCGACGTAAACATTGTTGCTGACCAAGTGCACCCCTTCATGGACACGGTATTCCCTGATGGCATTGGCCTCTTTCAACAGGATAATAAGCCCTGCCACTCTGTAAACATGGTTGAAGAATGGTTTGAGGAACACAATAATGAGTTTGAGGTGTTGACTTGGCCTCCAAATTCTTGAGATCTCAAGCTAGCACAAACCATGACATTTGAGTCTTTGAAACTAAAATGAGCATCATATAATCCTGAGTGCTCTCCATGTCATGCTACCTATACACCTTTTACTTACCTTGGATCAGTGGGCAACCAAGTCCTGGAGGTGCATCTAATGACAGGCCGAACAGCACTGCGATCCTCTTCTGAGCCAGTGGGGTTGCGTGTCACATGCGTGATCTATTCTCATGAAAAATCTGTCTTCATGCAGGCCTGCAGGCTGACCATTTTTCCATTAGGGTGTATGGAAAATGCACAGTACTGTAAGGCTTACCTGGCTCAGACAGGATTGGACGGGGTCACCCTCTGTTTCACCAGAGCTCCAGTGCCAAGGTTGCCTACCCATGGATTAGAGGACCTCATGCCTCTGATGCCCTCAACTCTTGTAAAAACCATAATCAGCAATTATTAGATTGGGATGGTTATTAGGTGTTGCAAAGATGTGTTTTCTCCTGTTTGCTGGGATTTTACTTGAAGTCACCTGCTTGGTGATAGTAATTTAAAGGATCCATTTGCACAGCTCCATGCAATATCCTACATTGGGGAATAAAGAACCTGTTTCTTGTGATGACACATAAACACATTGAGGGGAATTTATCAAAGCTGGAGCAGACAAAATCTGGAGCAGCTGTGCATGGCAGCCAATTAGCTTCTCTCTTCAGTTAAGATTTGTAAATGAAAAAGAGAAGCTGATTGGTTGCCGTGCACAGCTGCTCCAGATTTTGTCTGCTCCAGCTTTGATGAATTCCCCCCATTCTGTTTTCTGAAGGCCGTACTGCACAACAAAAATTATTTTTCAAATAGTCTGCGGCAATAAATGGCAGCTAATAGGGGCAGTCATTTAACAACAGCTGCTATCCAAGATGATGGGTCAGCCTGTATAACACACACGTATCAGCTGTAGTCCTTGATGGCCCATGTCACTTTCATTAGGAATAAGTGACACTGACAGCACATTAAATCCGTCACTGTGCCGGGGCACAATGGGCCCAGCCCCCTCTTTTCATTATCTCTGATTAGGTTACTTTTTGGCTTTGCAAGACTTATCCTTTAACTTTTTCCTGCGTTGCACTGATTTGGCCTTTAATGGCAGCAGCTGGCTTCCTGTCCCAACCTATACTACAACCCCCCCTCCCTTCTCCATTGAGATAATCTCCAGGGGCAATACCCCATAATTAGCCCGAGAGTGGACAGATGGCTGAGTGCTTTTGTCTCTTCCCCAACTCCCCTCCTTCCCTTCCCTCCCTATTCAGAGGATCCCTCTCCCCAAGGGGGCGACATCTGAATGACAAAGGCAAGACAAAAGAATGTCCTTCCATCTTGGTAGACCTGCTGCCTGAACGATACGCTGTGACCTTAAGAGAGAAGGTATACTGCTTGGAGGGCATCTGTCAGTCTGCCATTCGTGGAGGGGGGGACGCATATCTTATTTCTTTGTTTCAGTGATGGGAGGGGGCGACAATCTGTTCCAGCCACTTCTCTATGTATAGATTTGTACAGGAAATATATTTATCTGTCTTATTACCCTTTCTATCCTGGCTTCTCCTGCATTCATCTAGGGCCATAATGTTACCCTATAGAGCCTTTGTGTTGTACAATCTATCTTTCTATCAAATGTATCTACTACCGTATGTATGTAAATACTATATACCAATATTATCTATCTATCTATCTATCTATCTATCTATCTATCTATCTATCTATCTATCTATCTATCTATCTATCTATTTATCTATCTATCTATCTATCTATGTATATATATCCACCTGTCTATCTGTCTGTCTGTCTGTCTATCTATCTATCTTATATGTATCTATCTCCCCACCTGTCTATAGATCTATCTATTCATCTATCTGTTTTATATGTATAGATGATATGTTTCTATCTATCTATCTATCTATCTATCTATCTATCTATCTATCTATCTATCTATCTATCTGTCCTTCTCTATCAGAATATAAGGGGATAAACAAGCGATATACAAGGACTATCACATCTGCCTGTGCCTAGGGGGGGACAGACAGAAGCTGAAAATATTGAAATACACCAGGTCTAATTTATTCCTAAACCTCCACACGATCCATAAGCCAAGATCCCTGATTATAGGGAAGGCACACCTTTGCATTGAAACCTACCCGCAGTAACTGTGTCCCTCAGTTTGATTACAATTGAACTTTCTTACCACAATTTGGAGCTTTCTTGTGAGAGTGTCAGGAAGGTCTCGCTGTGTTGCCTCGTACAAACCAATGAGCTTCCCCTTTTTATGCTGCCGGGGTATGTAAGGGAATATAATGGGCATAACCAGTTGCCCATCAAGAGCCAACTCTTCTCTATCCTCATACATTTTACCCCCCCTGAATGCGAATGCCGAGAGTCATAGTGTGTGTTCTTCATGGTTACCTACACATAGGGCCACCATTAAAAATCATGGGACCCTGTACAGCCTACATGACAGAGCCCCTTCCCAATGTGTCTTCTCTAAACCTTAAGGGTATATGTATTTCTAAACACAGGATGGATGGTAAATTACCATTTACAGGAAGGAGGATATACAGTATGTCTATACAGGGCCTGATTGGTCCAGGCCCAGTACAGGAGTGCCACCTGTACCCCCCTATCAGTAGCCCGGCCTAGGTATCATCTTCCACAAGTTGCCTCACCTTGATGGTCTTAGTCTGTAGCTTCAGCCCGTTGAGGGTGTTAATGGCCTTATCGGCATCATTGGGATCCACGTAATTTACAAATCCGTATCCTAAGCTCTGACCTGTGAGGATGGAGAAAGAAAAGGAAAGTGTAAAGGGTGTCATCAGCGAGAGTTCTGTCACACACAGATAAAGAGATCTCCACATTTGCTAGTGGCCTTGGAAGGGCAAAGGTCCCCCGACAGACAGCTTTGTGTGCACACAGAGCCCACCAATACAAAACGCACAACAAAGGGGGACCACCTGCCTATCCACTTCCCAGGCACGCAGAAAAAGCAATATGCGTCATCAGTCAATAGCGAGCAAACCCTCTTCCCCCAAATGAAAGGAGAACATAGCTCTTCAAACAATCCACAGACTTCCTTCAAAGCAGACTCCCCTGAGGCTGCTGCTAGCTCCACTTTGCAGGACAACCAGATTGGGGGGATTCAAAGCTGCTGTTTTAGTGTAGACGTGTTACTTTGTGTACAGTAAGAGCTGCCGGTTGATAACAAATTTACAAGTGGTCAGAGTCAGAAGGACATAGGAAAATTATTGATCCTGAAAAGAAGGGAATAATCAATTCATTGAGAGCGCAGCAAATGTGAAAACCAGGAGCTGCCTTAAACTAATGGGTCAAATGTGTTCATAAAGGAAATTAGTAATCCCAAAATTGGATTTGTAAAGGATTAGGAAAGCCGCTGGTTAGCCATGATAACTGCCCTATCCGCACAATGGATCACAATGTTCACAAGGAACTGGGAAAGGGGTCCCTTCGCATCACTCTTGCTGTCTAAATGCTGATCGGAACTAATTAATAGGCAACACAGGATGGGATTAAATTAAATGATGTGTTCTCCCAGTAAGGAAGCACAGTACAGAGAATGAGAAACCCCACCGTGGGACTGAGGATCAGGTGAGTAAACCAAATTTATCTGAGTCCCCCTAGACAAAACGAACACATACCCCTGCACTACAAGGGTAGTTCTTTTATTTTTCCACAGGATAGTAATTCATTATTCTGCCCTTTCTTGTGGACTAATACCAGGCACAAATTAAAATTAACCCCTTTACAGCAGCCAAGAACAGAAGCGGGCATGGTTCTTCCAGGCTCATTCTCATAGTATCTAGCCAGGCAATCAAGGACCAACCCAATGGTCCTCATTGTGCAGAGGCACATCTGGCGCATATCCTAAATACGAGACAGCTGCTGATGTATCTAGAAGCTCTAATACAGGTTCTCCGACCGTAGAGATGTTCCGCTGATGAGACACGCTCCCTAAACATGTAACACAACTGAAACCGATAATGACTTTCCATTTCTGCTTTACCGGGAAGACATTCTAGAACATAAGAAGTAGATGTTGGCTTGTTAATGTGATAATCTCTGGTTTTCAGCAGCTGCTCGTACAATGGTCATAAGAAGGAAATGGGAAGATGATGAGATTACCACTGAATGCAGCTAATAGGATCTGTTACATACGGATGGGAAGATCGATGAAAACTGAAGCCCCGGGCCTTTGTATAAGGTGCTACAACCACGAGCCAAACATAATGGATTCTATCTGTGCTTTGCCTGCTGCAGTTTAATGTGGAACTCCAGCAAAAAAATGTAAGGGAAGCGTAAGAACCTACTTCAGGCTTAGAGGAAGCATTCAGTCTGTTTTGATCATTGATCGTACTCGCACCTGTGCTCAGACTATGGACGTAAAAGTGAATACGCTTTAAATATAAGCCATTCCTGATCTCTGTAGCTGCAGCCACTGTGGAGCAATTCATCCTCATTTTATCCATCCACACTGAACTTACAGCTCACTTTCCATAATTTCTAACCAGAAGGATGACGCCATTGTTCATTTCTACATCTTTGTAAATTCCTGTAGCAACTGTCTGTTCACTGGGCTATGAAAGAAGATAATTTTACCTCCGAGGTGCTCCCTATGTTCACGTCCACTATTAAATTGCCTAAACTCCTCCCCTTCCAGCACCCAGTGCCTGAAACCTATTAGAATAGCATTAATTTAAGATGCAACAGACCCCCGAATGATGCGCAGTGCATATCCTCCCGCTCTCAGTGTGGGAAGGACAGAAGGATTATATAAAAGTTCCGATGTCGTTCACATGGCACCAGTGCCCCTAGATGGTGCTATATGCTGGGCAGAACCTTCATAAATGAACCCCACAACAGCATATGTAAACCCTAACAAAGGGTTAACAATGTCACATATCCCAGGAGGCATTGCTTTCCACCATTCATAGAACACTATGTAAAGAGGCACAGCCCCAGATCCCTGTCTGCCCGTGTGCGACATATGAATGGAAAGAGGAAAGCAATGCCTCCTGGGGCTTAACACACTTTCTGCCCTAGGGTGGCTACACTCACCACATCACAGCACCCTGCCACTGTATTTCTCTCAAGAGCCCGCAGCCCTGATGATGGAATGGCTCTCGGGAGGAGTTATGCAAATATCATGATGCCTTGATGGGTGGATGTCACTCTTGAGGAGTGGACTTTCCTAGACAGACTCTATAGGCATGCAGACCGTCCTAGGTAACGCCCGCATGTGATGCTGAGAGTTCATGATTGAAAGAACGGTAATCCAATGAATGAAAAGTGCGGGCCAGGGACAGTCAGACTGGGAAGCAAAGAGATAGATGATACTGGATGTCCTCCAGCCCGGAAATGGGCTAGGTTCCATCTCACTTAATGAAACATCTAATGCACATTGTGAGAAGCTCGCAGTGTGCAGTGAAATCAGAGGAAGTAATTCCAGTCCATGAGAGGAGCCGGTACAACTGTGTAAGACTGAAGGGAAGGTCGGAGTTCAGCTCTAAGTTTGGCTCTATATGTCCATTTAGGTCCACTATATACATGCAATAGTCTCGGCAGATAGGGATCACTTTGGCGTAGATGGCCAGCTTAGATATGATCATCATATTCCCCGTGTGACCCAGCGGAGGAACCTGTCACATGACAAATCTTTGGGATTTTGCAATATGTGTGTACGGTCAGATCTATTCAATCTAAACATTTAAAGTGAAGCTGTGAGGATAGCAATATGGGAGCTGCCATTGCCGACTTTCCTTTAGAAGTTCAGGCAGAGGCGTAGCTACAAAAAATTGCGTCCCTGGCGTCCTGCCCTAGGTTACTAAAAGCCGGGCGGGGAGATGTGTAAGGGCCATACACATCTCCCCGCCTGGCTCCTAGGTCCAGTGACGTCATTCACTGACCCATAGAGTGGCACACCCCCTTCAAGTGGTGTCCAGGGCATGTGCCAAATGTGCCATACCCTGCATACGCCACTGGGTGCAGGCTACAAGGCTATCACCCTGATGTCATGATGCTCCAGCGACTTTATTCATTGCTAAGGCACTGACCTGGAACACGCCTGCTGATCAGGAGTCCTTGTATTTCTCCCTGTACAGGGTTCCTTACTTCACAAACCTAAACAAAATGTTATCCTTCCTGAAACGCCTTCTAATAATGGTTCAAAGAGACGAGAAACAGCATATGACATTGTATGCAAAGCCTTGAAGAACACCTGTCAATTGGCTCATTAAGGGCAATGTGACAGGTACCCTGATAGGCCTGTCT